TTTCTCGGTCCCCGCCACCTAATGTCACCACTGTGAGCTCCCCGGTCGGTGTTGGGCATCTTATTTCCCTGACGTAGCACAGGGCTCGGCATGACGTGGATGTGTGAGGACCGAGACAAATGGAATGGCTGAAACTGACTTCATCCTTTCCACGTCATCCATTTGTTTCATGGCTTTCATACGTCATGCCCTGATCCAGGCGGGTTTCATTTTTCAGATGCATTCCTAGATCTTCGAGTGTTCGGCCTGGCCCAGGTCTGAGAGAACATGTAGGCCACCTCAAACGAAAACAAGGTGGAGAACCGAGAGCCAGAGAGGCCGAAGTATGTGGCCCAGATCCCAAGATACTTGTGGCAAAGAATCTGTCCCATGCTCCTCACTCTGGTTCCTCTTCTGGGCACCCACAGAAAGATCACATTTCCCAGCCCACCTTGTGGTTAAGTTAGGGACATGTGACGAGTTCTGGCCAATGAAATATGAGCCTGAGCAATGAGCATCACGTCCGTTCTGAAGCACCCCTCTTCTCCAAGGTGACCTTGAAGACCTCCAGTCTAGCTCAGTGATTCACAAACTGTAACGTGCATACAAATCACTTGGGGGTCTTATGAAAATGCAGACTCTGATTCTGGGGTGGGGCCCGGGATTCTTAGTTTCCAACAAGCAACCAGCTGATGCGCATGCCTCGGAGCAGACATCTGAGTAGGGAAGGGCCACGGGGTGGAGCTCCAAGGTGAAGAAGAGCTACCCAGTTTCACTGGACCATTCGTGGGCAAAAGAAAGCCTTCGTTGTCTTAAGTCACTGAGATTTAGGGGTTTCTCTGTGACCTCAGCATAGCCTAATGTGTCCCGATAAACACATTGGAATAGGAAATTGTCATTTAGTCATTCAACCAATATTTACTGACTCCCTACCGTGAACTCATTCTGTGCCCTGGGTGCCTCACTCTGAGGGTCGTGAAAGTGCAAGTTCGGCATCTGAGAGTGAGCGCTCTTGACGTGTGTCCCCACGTGTCCCTTTCACCCCTCCGGCCTTTGCTCCCTCTGGGTGGGGAGCCAGGATTTGAAGCTCAGACCTTTTGACTTACGAGCCTAAGTCTGTTTCCAGCAATGCAAAGGGCAGCCAAGCCCATTCTGGGGTCCCATCCAGGGGGCTGTAACGGTAGCCAAAGTATTTATGAGTTCCCTGGACTATCACATCCCTCCGGAGTCAAACTCGGTGGCTGGGGATCTGAACTGCCCGTAAGCAGTCAGCAGAGCGGCGGTTTCTGCTGCAGTCCTTCGACTCTTCGAACTGTGTTTGGAAGGATCGTCCCTCACACGTTCGCTGCCAGACGCCCCGGTGCCAGCTGCGAGCTTCCCCAGCCAGCCGGGCCGCAGGGCCCCCTGCCGTCTCCACTTGCCCATCCTCAGCTACCCGAGGGAACACGTTCCACGCAGAAGCCGTGCTCTGACTCAGACAGGCCCCTGCGGGCGGCGAAGCTTCCACTCCCCTCCTGTCCCCTCCGGGGGCAGCTGGCCCTCCTCCCCAGCTCACGGTCAGCAGAGGGTCCCCGATACTGATGTGGCCGGTGTTACCACTCAGTGGGCCTCTGTCCTGCTCCTCCTCACGCCTCCTTTCTCTCCCGCCTCCTCCCAGCCTCAGAGAAAGGAGAGCTTCAGAACTGCTCCTCCCAGGAAAAATGAATCATCAGTGATCAATAGCGACAGAAGTCAGAAAAATGAGTACCTGGGGGGTGCAGAAATACAGTTTTAGAAAAGGCAGGAGGGAACTTCTTTTGGAAGTGTACCTTGATCTGGGTGGTGGGTACATGGGTATCTACATAGGTAGACAGTTGTTGAGTTCTGCACTTAATACTAACACACTTTAAGCATATATATGTATACACAAGGATATAAATATGTCCCCTCAGTTTTTAAAAAAATAGATTCCACAGAGAGCTCGATGAGCAGTAGCAAAATAAATGACAACAAAAACCACAGTGTAAGTGTGGCGTCACAGGGACCTGTACTGAAAATCTGGCCGTTGACCAGTTCTGTGACGTTAAATAAGCTACGTAACCTCTCTAAACCCTACCTTTCTTATTGAGGTGTGGACTGGGAGGATCAGAAACACCACTTTTTAATAACAAGAACTTGGCCCAGGGCTGGCTCCCACTGGGTGCTCAATACCTAGTCATGTTCATTGTCATTAAAACCAGTGGCCCGCCCTGGCTGGTGTGGCTCAGTTGGTTGGAGCATCTTCCCAACACTGAAGGCATGTGGGTTTGATTCTCAGTTCAGGGCACACACGTAGGTCTTGGGTTCAATCCCTGGTCCAGGTGGGTTCGAGCCCCAGTCTGGGTGTGAACAATTCCGGGTGTGGGCGTGTACTAGAAACAACCAATCGGTGCTTCTTTCTCACATTGATGTTTCTTTCTCTCCCTCCCTCCCTCCCTTCCTCTCTCTCAAAAAAAGTGATGTAAAAAAAATGTCCTCGGGTGAGAATAAAAATAATAATAAAACCAGTGGCCCTATAAGGACAGAATATGGGAGTGGTCTTCCCATTGGGGCACACTGTCCATAGAAAATTTAAAGATAAAATAAAATCGAGGTGAAGCCAGTCTGCTTTCTGTCATGACCACGCACTGGCAAATCTAAACAACGTCAGTCTGAAGTATCCTGTTCCGAAAATATCTTTTGTTTTGGTCTAAGTTCTAACTATTGGATTTTATTAGTATATATGTGTAAGCTTTGAAGTAGCACACGTTAATTTCTTGTCCTTTAGCAAACATAGTCTGCAGGGAAGTTCCCTTGGAGAACCTCTAGGACTCCGATCACCCCCAGCACATGGGAGCTGAGGGACACACCTTCACCGAGAAAGTTCTGGATTCACTGTGTTTGCTTCAGGGACGGCCCCGTCTCCAGCCCTGTGGTGTCACGTATGCCTGCATCTCCAGTGGCTCCAGAGACGCCATGACCATGAATGACAGCAAAGACACAGATACAAGGTGCCCAGTCCTGTCATTCCATGCATCTACTCGGCGTTCTGATTGGTGGTGTTTAACATCGAAAACAGGAAACATGTGTGAAGGATGGTGAGTGTGTTTGGTACGTGCACATCTTGGATTCCCCATGAAATAGGCGTATATGTGCTTCATCTCACAGTTATTACAGAAAGTAACTTCATTCTATAAAGAAGGCAAGTGTTCAAAAATGGTCCACTCTGGGTATAAAATGCCCTAGGCATGCCTCTGACTCAAATATAAGAATTCATCTATCGACCATCAATCAATCACTGAGTCAAGTATCTCTCCTTCCCTCCAAGTCTGTGGGCACCCCACCCCGGCCCCCAGAGGACTTCCTCCAGCAATCCCACCTTCATCCTTGATCCTTGTGAATGCCAAGGAAAAACAGACGCCTACTAAGAAGGGCTCCTGGTGGCTAACTGGGCTCAAGTTTTTATAAAAACAGAGCCTGGCGGCCATTTCTGCACTGGGGCCACTTGTGCAAACAGCACTTAATGGAGAAGCCTGCTCTGGACCTGATTCAGCTGAATCGCCTGCCTGTGCCCCGTGCTTCTGCCACCTGAGCCGGCCCTTGAAAAGGAGTTCCTGGAATCCTATTTTAACCCCTAGGACTGAGGCTTTCTCCATCCAGTCAGAGCTGCACAGCTCTAGCCAATCAGAGCAGCTCTATGCTGACCAATCAGGACAGTGCCTTTTGAACCAATCAAATGGAGAGGATTTGGAGTCCTCATTTGCATGACGGCAAGCCAATTGGAAACCAGGAATAGGGACTCGCATCCACATAAGCCAGCTCCCTCCAGGCTCAGGCCTTTCCATTCCACCAAACCCTGAAGGTTGTGTCTCCCTGGCTGAGCTCTAGCAGGAGAGGGGCCTGACCCTGGGGCTGCCTCACAGCCTTGCTGTAGTCACAGCCGTGCTGTAGCGAGGTGGAGCTGTTTTGCACTGAATAAAATCTCCCTCTTCGCTGCCTCCCAAACTGGGGATTCCTGTTGGCACTGAGTTGGCAGCAGTGAGCATCAGTTGACATCCTTCACCCCCCTCATCTTCTTCCCCTAAGACGGCAACCCGGAGGGCGTCACCCCCCACCCGGATGAAAGTCCCTCTGTCTGATACTGATATCGAGTCACTCTTCTTCCTCACCAGCTGTCCATTCCAGAACCCTCTGCGGTCCAGCTCCCTCTGGCTGAAGTTTGAGGAGCTGGTGGAGATTGTGGGGGCCAAAGGGTTCCCCATTCGCCCTTGGCCTCACCTCTGTTATCTTTGCCGCAGTCCGCAGTCAAAGCTCTCGTCTGCACACCCCCCACCCCTCACTGGCCGGAATGTTGGAGATGTCTCCGAAACACTGGTGGCTTGACTTTGGGTCTCTTGCTCCCCATGTACGACACCACACCCCTCCTCAGAGTCAGCTCCAGTCCCCCCCCCCAACCCCCCACCCCCGGGCACCTGCAGCTCCCAGAACCGGCGACGCTGGCATATCACGCTCTCTCCCTCCTCGAGGTGTGCGTACATGCTGTTCCTTCCACCTGGAACATTCTGTCTTCTCTGACCCCACCTTGCCTTGGCTGTCTGCAAAGGTAGCTCCTTCAGAAGGCCGTCCCTCGCCCTCTGCTTCAACAAGGACCCCTTCTTGGTGTGCCCAGAAATTCCACCTGTTTTCTCCCTGGCACCGCCCACTCTGGGCTTTGACCCAAAGGCTGCGCTGTGTACCCAGTCCCCGCAGGGGCCCTCCGAGATGGCCGAACTGCACGAAACGGACTTGGTCCTTCCAGGTCAGCTCGTCGTGCCCAGCGAGCGCCGGCACTCCACAGGCCCAGCCTGCGTGGGCTCCTCCGCCACAGCCGCCTGCCAGAGGCCGGAAAGCAGGCCCTGGGGAGGGCCCTCGTTGCCAAAAGCAAACAGGCCGCCAGGGAAGTTTTGCTTTGGGTCACACCCGCCTCTGGGTGGCTGCCAATCCTCCTGCCAGAAACCGCAGGCCCTCTGGAGCTGCCCAGAGACCGGGCCACAGGGCTTAGGAGGACTCGGGGCAGCTCAGCGAGGGGGTGTCTGCCCAGCGCTTCCTGGATCCACAGCCCCCCAGGGTCGGGCAGGGGGTCTGGGCAGGGCTGCAGCGGCTACAGCCAAGGCGTGGGGAGGCCCTCTCGGGCTGGGAGGAGCTAAGAGGCCCCTGCCAGCCTGTCACAGGCTCTTGGTGCTGACAGTGGCTCTGGCTTTCGCACACACACCCTGGCGGGCACCCCCTTGGTGGCCTCCATAGTCTCACCTTCAGGTAAACGGTGGGAGGCTGAGGATGGGGAGAGGAGCACGGAATGCAAAGACCAGTGTGCGTGTGTGTGTGCGTGTGTGTGTGCGTGTGGGAGTGACCTCACAGCCTGCAGAACATAAAGACTTACAGGTCCTGCCTCCCAGGCTCAAGGCTGGCTCCGTGGGGGACACAGTTAACATGAGAGGCACACCTCAGACCCACCTCCTGGCCTTCTCCTTCCTCTGCCTCCTCTCAAAGGTAAGGGGGCCCCGTGGCCCCAACACATACTGCTGGCTTCTTGGGTGTGGTGGGGGAGGTGTGAAGTCACTGCCAAGGACCCCTGGCAGGATCCCTGCAGGGCCCCGTGCCGGGCACAGCCAAGTCTGCCTTCTTGTTGCCCAGACCGCCGCCTCTGCTGTGTGACCTCAAGCAAGTCCCTTCCCCTCTCTGAGCCTCAGCTGCTTCCTCTGTGGAATGGGCACGATGTTCATGAGGTCTTTGTGAAGATCACTTTTGATAATTCACCTACAGTGCTTAGCAGAGGACCTGGCACATGGCAAAGGTTCAAAAGAGGTTTTTATGATTCTTACCCAGCCCCACAACCCTCTACAAAGCAGAAGTGCGTGTCCTCTTTACAGATGAGCCTCCAGGTGTGACCTGCTTTGCCTAACAGCCAGCCAGGATTTGGATGGATGTTGGTGTCTAACTCACTGGAAAGTTCAGACTGCAAGGGCATTAATGCTCTTGGGTCCTCGGGCAGTGAATGACCCGCCGATCCAGGCTGGAGGGGACAGGGAGACAGCTCCATGGAATAACGGCGTTCCCTAATGGGACATTTTTCAAAGGGCTATGGAACATCTGCTTTGTCTAACATGCCCAACAACCCTATCAGGGATTACAAGCTCATTTTCAGTCAAGCAAGGCTCAGAGAGGGTTAGCAAGTTGCCCAAAGCCACACAGTAAAGGAACATCAGAGCAATAGAGGAGGTAGAGCACAGGAGAGGCCTGGGTCTGTGGGGATTGGGCTGGGGATTTCAATTTGTGGCTCTTCACCCCCAATCTGGACCATGGCCGCAGTCGCTGGATCCTGTCATTCCCCCAGTGTTTGCCGAGTCCCCGGTCCCCTGCCTCTTGTTCTCTGGACTGGCCCCACCCCAAGCCATGATCTCACGGTACTTTCATGCTCCTTTGAGGAGCTCGGGCAGGAGCTTCTCCCTTCGAATCCCAAGCAGCGGTATGGGGAAGCCCGAGAACCCTACTGGCACCCCCATCCTGCTGTTTGTCCTGCCAAAGGGGGTGGGCAGCCTACAAGGCCGGGGTGGGTGGCTGGAGTAGCTGGAGCAGGGAACTTGGGGTTCGGGGCCCAGGATTTATTGGGAAACCAAAATGATGCCATCTCCAGCTTGCTGTGCGCCCCTTCATTCCTCCCGGGTCCCAGGGAGCCCGGCAGCCTCCTACACAGAACGTAGGGACTTTGTCATCACAAACGTAGAGAGCCACCACACTCTCAGAGAGAGAATGCCATGTCCCGCAGGCAGGCAGGCTCCTGGGCTCAGGGCCGGGGACAGAGGTCGGGCACAGAGACCTGGAAACAAGCAGAGTCGCATTGACAAGAGCTGGCCGTGACCTCACTTAGTCCGATTCAGGGAGGGCGTCCCCACCCCTTCTCACTGAGGAGAAAACAGCTCCCTCCGCACAGAGCACTTAAGGGAAGTGCTCAGAATCACACGGCGGGCCGGTGGCAGGACTCAGATTTCAACCCTCGCCCAGATGATGCCATGTCCAGGGCTCTGACCGCAGAGCCTTGACCCCAGTCACCCCAGCGAGGGTCCAGGGAGACTGAGGTGTGATGGAGCAACTTGAACAGAGGGATGGGGTTGTTAGGGTGGGGGTGGAGATAGAGGGAGACAAGAGAGGGCATATTCCTCCTGGGGCGTGCTGAAACGCCTTCTCTGGCTTGTTGTTATTCCTCCTGAACAAATGGGTAAACCGAGGCAGCAGCTAAACTGGCACCAGAGCCCCAGAGAACAAGAGGCAAGCCTGGTCATTAAGAGCCCAGGCTTTGGATTCCCAGGAACTTGGATTCCAGTGCCGGCTCTACCTCTTACTGGAGACGTCACTACCTTGCCTTGAGCCTCAGTTTCCTCATCTCTAAAATGGGCACAAAGCACCCCGCATCGGGGACTTAAATTAGACAGCACGTCAAAGGGCTCAGCACCTGGCGCATGTCAGCCATGGTCGTCAATAGCAAGAGTAGCCTCTCCTGGGTATCAGGGCCTGTGTGCGGTCCAGCCCCTGCCGGGCTTGCTGGGTAGGAAGAGGCCACAGTGGGAAGCCAGGTGCAGAGCAGAGGTCCCATGTCCTGGCCCCACTGCTCTCAGGGGGGAGGGGCCCAAGGGCCGGTTCTGGGCAGAGTTCCCCACTTCCCACTAACCAGGAAAGCTAAGCCTCTGATTTGCCAGGGAACCCGAAATCCTGGCCAGCCCATGGCTGCTCTGGTCAATGCCATGTGAATCCCCTTTGGATTTATTAAAATGCAGGTTTCAATCATGAACAAGGGCCCTAGGGGCCGCATGTCTGACAAGCTCCTTGATGATGTTGCTGCTCCTGGTCCAGACCACACGTGAGGGGGGAGGGTAGGCCAGGCCATCTTGTCTTGAGTCTCTTCAGTATCACCCAGTCTCCCACCTGGAATTCCTGCAAAGGCCCCAGCACACGGCTGCACACCTGCATCCATCGCCAGAACCATCTTAGATGGGAGGCCTGGGAGGCCCTCCTGCTCTGAGACCCTCACCTCCGCTCCCCTCCCAGAAGCTGGAAGGCCTATTTGGGGCACCCCCTCGTGGCCAGTGTGGGAACTTCAAGTCACTGGTTTGGGGACTGACGGGCGGAAGGACAAGGTGGGAACCCGGGCAAATGCGCCATTGCCTGCCCTGGGGCCACATAGGGGATTTGAGGGCTCTGGTTTCATCTCCCTAACCTGCAAGTCTTCTATCCTCTGGATAAAGGCTCCAGTCCCCCAAGGATTCTGCTGAAGATTGGCTCTCCACAGATGGGGCCACTGGGACTGTCTTGAATCATGCCTACTTCTTGGTCCCCACCTTCAACTGGACATACGGGGAGCCCATGGCATCTAGCTTCTGGTTTGGTTGTTTGTCCTGAGTGGGGGCGGTGGGGGGGCAGTCAGGATACTTGAGCTGATTGACACCTTGACCCTGCCCTCAGGGTGTGGGTCCCCGGCTCCGACTCTCCCCTGTTAGAGGAAAAGTCAACCACCCACCCTGGGACTCTGGGTCGCCAGTGCAGAAGCAGGCGCCCAGCCCTGCAGCTAACACACTGACTTTTGGCAAGTCCCTTCCGTTCTCTGAGCTCAGGTGCCCCATCTGTGCACGGTGGGGGAAGGGGTTAGACTAGAGCAGAGAAATCACAGACCCGGCTGTGCATCAGATGCCCCTGAACAGCCTGTTAAAAAGTCAGATTCCCGGGGCCCTGCCTCTGGAAGTTCTGATTTGGCAAATCCCAGAGCAGGCCTGGGGGTCGGTATTTTACCAAGTGTCCTGGTTGATTCGATGCTTGTCCAGCAACATAGTCTGGATTGTTCTAAAGGTCAAAAACCTCCATGGTACTGTCTGATTTATTCGGCCCCCAAGGTAAGTGCCTCCAGTCCACCTGCTGGAAACGGTGTAGGACCCTGTGGCTTTAACCCTTCACTTTGCTGCTTTTGCCTTCTGTAAGCTCCGAGGGGGCGGGGCCGCAGCCCTCCATGGTAATCCACAATGACGATGGCCACGGCTAACCACACTGAGCATCCGCTGTACACCCAGCCTGTGCTGGGGGTTTCCCAGCCATTGTGGCATGTGCTTCCCCAAACGACCCTATGAAGTACGTACTCCCATTGCCCCCTTCTTACAAATAAGGACACTGAGGCTCAGGGAGCTTAAGTAACTTGCCCAAGATCACTCAGCTGACAAGGAGCAGAGTTAGGACTGGAACTCTAGTTCCAAGTCCATGTTCATGACCACACTGAGTACCATGGGACTGCCAGGGTTCAAGGCCAGGTCTGTGGGATGCTGGGGCCAAGGTGTGGACCCCACACAATCCAGCCTGGCAGAGAGGTGGCCCATTGTGAGGGTCTCACTGCCTGCCTTGAAATATCATGGCTAAGTCAAGTCTCTCTCTCTGCAGGTGTGTGCCCAGCTGTGCCCAACACCATGTGTCTGCCCCTGGCCGCCACCACAGTGCCCACTGGGGGTGCCCCTGGTGCTGGACGGCTGCAACTGCTGCCGGGTGTGTGCGCGGCGGCTTGGGGAGTCCTGTAACCATCTCCACGTCTGTGACCCCAGCCAGGGCCTGGTCTGCCGGCTCGGGGCGGGTCCCGGCGGCCGGGGGGCCGTGTGCCTCTGTAAGCAGGTTTGCGGGACTGATGGAGGGTGTTGTGGGAGACGAGGGGTGGTCAAGGCCATGGCGTCCTCAGTCAAAGGGAAACCCCCTCTCCCTACCTTTAGCCCTCACTTCAGGTGCATCATCCATTTCAGCCAAGTCTGGTGACCCAGCGTTCCTGAGGCCCCCTCCCTGCTTCTCCCCTCTTGTACTTCCTATGACCATGCACCACTCCTGTCCAAATCATAGCCAACTTGCAAAGCCAAACTCAAACACCTCCTCCTCTGAGAAGCCCTCCCAGAGTCTTCTAATCAGAAGTCATCATCCCCTTCTCAGGACCTTCACAGTACTTTGGGGAAGATAAAAGCTCAGCCCCTTATTTAGGGCATAGTGTATGTCAGGCACTGGGCTAAGCACTTGCTACATCAATCACACAATGATCCTGCAAGGTAAGTACTTTCAGGCCCATTGCATAGATGAGGAGACTGAGGTTCCTAGATATTAACTGACATATTCAATATCACACAGCTTGGGACCCGGTCCGACAGGCTCTGAGGCAACATTCTGCCTGTCTTCCTCCTGGAGAGGAAGCCCGCAGCCTGAATTTGGAGTTTGCTTTTGCTTGGGAGCCTGAGCACCCTTCATCTTCCACCACCTCCTGGGCCCTGGGGGCCCCGGTGCTTTAGATCAGGTTCCCAGCTTTGCTCTGGGGACACGTGGGACCAGATCATTCTTGCTGCGGGGGCTGTCCTGTGCTTGGTAGGACATTTAGCCATGTCTCTGGTCTCTACCCACTAGATGCTGGTGGCACCCTCACCCCCAGGTTATGACAAACTATGTTCAGACTTTGCTGAATGTCCCCTGGGGAGAAAGTCACCTCCAACTGAGAGCCACTGCTTTAGAGAAATAGAAAGAAGTAAGGGATCCTCCCTCCCTCCCTGCCTTCCTCTCTCTCTCTCTCTCTCTCTCTCATAATAAGCCTTTCAGAGCAATTGGCCTCTTCCATCTCACTTTTATAACAATAAGAACGAGAGAGAGGGGCCCATGAATCATGGACAACGAGTCCCTCTATACAAAAAAAAAAAAAAAAACCCTGTTAACAATCAAAGCAACAAAACTTAGAGAAAGGAAGCGACTCTTAGTAAATCCTTATTAAATAGTTCATCTAACTGGAGAAGTATAATAATGATGGGCAATCTGTTAAATAAACTTGCAGATGATTGCTAATAAAAACGTGCCTGAAAAAAGACATGAAGCAAGTAGCAGCTTGTAAGGCTGGTATTCAGATGAGCCACGGCATGTGTCAAGTGATGAACAGCAAGGATTTATTGACACCGCGTAGCACTTAGCACGTGCCAGGCGCTAAGGGTTTCACAAATATTGCCTCATTTAATCTCATGACAGCCGTATGAGGTAGGTAGGTACTGATGCTATCCTTATTTTATAAATGGAAAAAGGAGACACAGAGAGGTTAAGCCACTTGTCCAAAGTCACACAACTCATAAGTAGCTGAGCTGGGATTTGAACTCAGGAAGCTGGCTCCTCAATCTTAGTTTCCATCGCTCTACTGCCTGACACCGTGCTTGGTACCTGGTGACTGCTATTGCCAAGAACTTCATTAAGGGGCTTTTCCAATTCCATCTTGATTCAGACTCACCCGGAGGCCAAGGATTCCCTTGGTCCTTGTTTCTTCCTACCACTCCCAGCCCTGGTCGTGCAACATGGTGGGTGCTTGTGAATGTTTAATGATTTGAACTGAATTTAGAGGCTGGGAGCTGGTGAACCCCTCGGGTGGGCTGGAGCCGGCTAAGACCTCACAGGGGCTGAACTCAGTCTTGGCTCTGGGGGAACACCAAGCCCCTGGTCTCCCACACCCCAAAGGAGCGGCTTCCCCAGCTCAGCTTCCCCTGGCTCAGGTTCGAAACCTTGGAGTCCTTGACGTCTCTCCATTTTTGACCTCCCACACACTATCCACCAGCAAATTCTTCACAAGATTTCCAGAGCCTGACACCCTCAGTCCCTCCGTTGCTACCACCCTGGCCTAAACCCCGCCACTGCCTGTCTGGATTTGGGAGCAACCGCACAAGTCTCCCTGCTTCTGTCCCCCATCTATTCGCAAAGGCCCCTTTTAATATAAGTCAGATCACACCCCTCCTCTGCCTGACAGCCCCCAACAGCTTCTCAGCTCCTCAGAGTAAAAGGCAAAGTCCTCTTAGTGCCGACAAGGCCCCCGCGGGGTCCTGGTCCTCTTCACTCTCTTGTCTAATCCCCTCTCTCCGTCCTGTTCGCCGCTCCAGCCACAATGGCCTCTCTGCTGCGCCCTTGATGCTCCAGGCGCTTTCCCAGCTCAGGGCCTTTGCACCCGCTGCTCCCTGCCTGTGTGCTTTGCCCCAGATGATCGGTTCCCTCCACAATGATTGCCACACTTAAAATGCATAACCCTGCCCCGCTCCTTAACCCCGCCCTCCTTTGTTTTTCCCACACTAATCTGACATCATAAACTCTACATGCTTGCTGATTGTGTTTATTTCCATTGCAGCAAAAGCTCCGATGAAGGCAGGATTTTTGCCTGTTTGAGTCATTGCTGAATCGCAGATGCCTAGAACAGTGCCTGGTGCATAGTAGGCACTCAGTAATTGTTGAATGAGTGAATGAATGAATGAATGATAACAATAGTTCCAGTGGGGCTGGCAGTAACAGGCACCGTTTATTGAGCATATACAGTGAGCAAGCCTTAGTAATGAGGTAGGTCCTATTATTACCCCTATTTTGCAGGTGAGGGAACTAGGGCTCAGAGAGGTTAAATCGCCTGCCTAAAGTCACACAGCATGCAGGTAGCTGAAGGCAAAAAAAAAAAAATACCCGTGTTGTTCCTTCTCCTACAAGAGCCTCTCAGAGGGGAAGGAGGATGCAGAAATCACCAGGTGACAGAACTGTGCTTTGAAATTATTTGGGGGAGGCCGCTGGACAAAGGGACACTTGGAGAGGGTCTGGACGGAGTTGTGGGTTTGGGGCAGCTGTGTGTGTGTGTGTGTGTGTGTGTGCGTGTGTGTATGGATGGATGTTGGACAGACCCAAGAGCGAGTAAGTTTGGAGGTGCCTCGTGCTGTCTGGGACGATGCCCGGGTGCCCCAGGGCTGGGGAGTGGTGGCCCAAGCATCGTTCCCCACACCCAGCAAACTCGGAGCTGGAGGACCCAGGAGAGGTGCCAGGAAACCTTGCTAAAATTATCACCCTCCAGCTGACTTTCCTAAACAGTCCCTCTGTTTACCAGGTCATCTCAGTGACCAAGAGGCCCAGGGCTGTGGCACCGGGGCTGGGGGACAGGGCTGGGCCAGGCTGGGGATAGGGACCGAGGTGCAACTGCCCCTGCAGTTTCTAAAAAACAGTGGCCACGTGGTCCAAGCCAAAATGTTGGGACTTGAAGCTAAAGGGCTGTGGCCTGGAAGGAGCAAGGAGAGGGAGCTGACACTGGTCCTGTGCCCCCACAGGAAGAAACACCCCCACTCCCATTTATCGAGCATCTGCTATGTTCCGGGCTAGGGGGGAGGTGCTTTAAGTGCACTAGCTCATTTAGCCCCCCGGCGGCCCTGTGAGCAGGGTGCCAGGGCTCAGAGGGGTGAAGTAACTTGCCCCAGGTCCCTCAGCTTTCAAGTGGGGAACTGGGGTTCGAACCCAAGTCCACCTGGTTCCAAAATCCCTGCATGCATATGGGCCTATTTGAGGTTTTTCTCTGAAATCCTGCTTGCCAACGAGTCCTTTCCCAGAGGCCCAGCTGAACTGCCACCCACATCTCCAGGAACCCCTCCTGATTGCTCCTGTCTTTGTACTTCCCGAGCAGCTGACACGCACAAGCTCTCCAGGACACGTTACTGTATCGTGGAGATGATAACTTTCATATCTGTCTCCCCCACTGGCCCCTGAGTCTCTCCAGGCAAGGGCTGTGCCTTAGCCCTGCCTAGCAGCGCAGTGGCTGGCACACAGAAGGGGCACACTATATATACATCTCTGGGGTTACAAGGAGTCAGAACTATTTTATCAGTGTCTCTCCTGTGCTGGGCCCTGTGCCAGGCAGTCATTCAAAGGACCTGGCCGTGCCGGGGTGAGCACTCTCAGCCCCAGGCTAGCAGAGGAAGTGCTAATAACGCCCAAATCTTGAGGACTTCCTTCAAAGTGTTTCCTGAGCACCTACTCTACGCTTGGCACCGTGCTACAGACTATGTGCAAATTATCTCATGAAACTGAAGGTAGAGATTACTGTTCTCATCATTGCTATTGGTCCGGTGACTCAGAGAAGTTAAGCGACTTACCCAAAGTCACACAGCCAGCCAGTTACACCCCGGCCTGACAGTGATGGCAACAACAAGCAGACGGACGATAACAGCTGGTGCGTGAAATTTCAGCGTGCGTGTCACAGCTGCCTGTTGTTGATCCGTCACGCTCGTGCTAGCAACAACAGAGTGACTAGGGTCTAATGCCTTCCTTGTGCTGTGTTCATTCCCCGTATGTTGCAAGCTCTCTCCACACGCGATCTCGTTTTGTTTAGTCTAGACCACAACCCCACGAGATACAGGGCGGGCAGAAGTAGATTTACAGCTGCAAGGACACGAAACTGAGTTTATTGTTGTATTATGTACATCGCAACCGTAAACCTACTTTTGCCCGCCCGGCTAAGAACCATTACAACCCATTCTGCGGGAGAGGAAGCCGAAGCGTGTCGGAAGAAGTGAAATCGCTTGGCCTGGGTCCAGAGCTAAGAAAGGGGCTCAAACCAGGCCAGGCTGCTCGCGAGCCCTGTGCCAGGATCCGGCTGTGTTCCCGCGGGTGCCAGGGCAGACTGGCCGAGGCCCGGGGTGCGAATCGCCGGGCTGGAGCCCCTCCCCGTGCTCAGGTGCTTTAAGGGTGCTGCTCCCCGATGGGGTCGGCCGCTCTGCAGACAGAGCCGTGGGAGCGGAGGATGTGGCTGGAACAGCCGTGCTTGCAGGAGGAGGGGGGGCGGGGAGCTGGGGTTGGCCACAGATGGAAACCCTGTTTCTCCTCCGCAGGGGGAGACGATGACGGCAGCTGTGAGGTGAACGGCCGCCGGTACCGGGACGGGGAGACCTTCCAGCCCCACTGCAGGGTTCGCTGCCGCTGTGAGGACGGCGGCTTCACCTGCGTGCCCCTGTGCAGCGAGGACGTCCGGCTGCCCAGCTGGGACTGCCCCAACCCCCGGAGGGTTGAGGTCCCGGGCAAGTGCTGCCCCGAGTGGGTGTGCGACCAGGCCGGGGCGGTGGGGGTCCAGCCCCTCCTGGCCCAAGGTGAGTGCGGGGCTGGCCCGGCCTGTGGGGCGGGGCGGGGCGGCTGGAGGGGCGGGGCCTCCGAGGTGTCGGGAGCCCTGGACACTCCAAAGGGAAGGTTTTATTCCCAGAAGGGGGAGGGGGGAGGGCCGAGGAGACATGTGGGCAAGTGGAGCAGAGTCACAGGCCTCTTTAAAACCGACAACACAAGAAATGGTGGGAGAAGTGCGTCATTTTAGTCATAACTGAGTAAGAGTCGAAACTGCTGGCAGCGTGGTAAAGGGGAAAGGGGGTTAGAATACTTGAACCAAACTCGCACATGTATATTATAATATGGATTATTATTGTACTTGTAATATAGGGATACGTATTATGTTGATAGACCATACATATTATATAATACATAATATTAATATCCTATTATTGGAGCTTACCAAAAGAGGAACTCCAAACTGGACGTAGCAAGGTGGCTGCCTGGGTCATGGGCCTAGACCTTGTTGTTGCCAGGTGTTGGGTTTTTAAAAAATTACCATTATACGAATGTGACTTGTTTTTAAAGAGGAAGCTGGAAAGAGGGTGCTGGCCCCATGGACGACGGCGCCACAGGGGAGGCGGTGGAGCGGGGTGGGCGAAGCGTGCAGTCGGCCCGGGTTCGGAGCCCAGTTCTACCATATTCTAGAGGCGTGACTCGGAGAGGTGCTCCGCCTCTCCGTGCCTCGGGCCCTTCCGCTGTAAAATGAGAGCGCCCCCTGCGGGGGGCTGTTGCAAGGACTGGATGAGCGAGCACCGGTAAAGCCGCTGCGCCAGTGCCCAGCACACAGCACTCCTCCGGCGGCAGCTGTGGCTGCCCCAAACTCGGAGTGTGGCGCCCTGTTTTCGTCCACAGGACACGGCCGTGGGTTCACCTTATGTAGAAAAAACAGGATAGGACACCGCGCATGCGATTTTATCTCCATCATGTGTGTGCGTGCCTGCAGGTATGCGCTCGCGCACACACACCATACGTGCTGCACACGTGTGCATGTGACACAGGGTTTTCCCAGCCTCGGAACTTCTGACGTCGGGGCCGGTAACTCTGTGGAGGGACCGTCCTGTGTACTGTAGCGTGTTTAGCAGCACCCCTGGCCTCTGCTCATGGGATCCCAGGAGCTCCCTCCCTGATGGTAACAAACAAAAATGGCTCCAGACGTCGCCAAGGGGCCCCTGGAGGACAAAACCGCCCCTGGCTGAGGTCCACGCATATACAGGACCCGAAGGAAGGACACCAACATATGAGCAGAGAAGAGTAAGACTTGGGGGGTCTGGGAAAAGCTAGACCCTGGCGAACCCGCCGCTCTGTTCCAGGCTCGGCCTCGGAACCACTAGCGTTCCAGTGGCCAAGACACGGCCCCGAGACACGCAGGCCGTGGCCTCCCGGTAAAAGAGGAGCCCACCGACTCCTGGGGGACGGTCCTGGTCGGCGGCATCATGCAGGAGGTGTTTACAAGTACCAGGCACCGTACCTCCCTGCCATTATTTTATGCAGCCCTAACCATCGACTGTGAGGACATGTACAGAGGAAGAAACAGAGGCCCAGAGAGGTCGGGCAACAGGACCTCGACCGACCACGCCACAGCCCTGTGGGCTGATGCGGCTGCCGAGTCCCGACCTCCCAGTGCTGACCCTTTTTTCTCCCCCACAGGACTCCAGTCGTCCGGCCTGGTGGCTCTCCCACCTCCCGCGGCCCCCTGCCCGGAATGGAGCACAGCCTGGGGCCCCTGCTCCGCCACCTGTGGGCTGGGCGTGACCACCCGGGTGTCCAACCAGAACCGCTTCTGCCGACTGGAGACCCAGCACCGCCTGTGCCTGCCTGGGCCCTGCCCGCCTGCCACGGGCCGCAGCCCACTGCACGGTGCCTTTTAGGGCCAGGCCCAGCAGGCGAGCTTAGCCGCAGGCCACCCTCCAGCCCTGGTCCCCCAGCTGGACCCTGGAGGACAAGAATGGCCACAGGCAGCCTGGTCTGCCTGGACGGAGATAGAGCAGGGTTGCATTCATTAGTCCCATCTCCTCTAACTCCCAGCCTGGGGGGGCTGGCCAGGTTTCTAGGGTCTTCCGGTCCACCCCCAGCCTCTACACGGCTGTTATCGAACAGGCACATGCACTAGCTTTCCAGGAGGTGGGCGACCATCTCTGGTCTCAGGCAGGTACTGGGCAGGACTGGCTGTCTCTCTGGGGGTGTGGTGAAGAGGGGCACAGACCCTCCGACTCGCTTGCATCCTTTCCAGGGGTGAGGTCGAACGTCCCTGAGTAGGCGCCTCTGCGCGCACGTGGGTGTCAGGCTCACGCTGTCTGAGAAAGCCCTCCCCAGCCCGGGAAGAACTCAGGGGCCGAGAGAATGCTTTGTGAAAACCACATGATGGAATCACTGCCTTGGAGAAAGTCAGAGGACAGGCCTTGGAGTGACCTATTAACTCAGCGCGTGTCAGTGAGAGCGACCCTTTCCCGAGCCCCTGCCAGGTGCCAGGCACGGAGCCAGGCACCGTGTAGGTCAGTACCCGGCAGTCGCCTGGGCTCCGGAGGAGCAGGGGTGGGGGTCCTCCGGGGCCTGGGAGCTTGGTCTGAAATAAACCGACCTACGTGTGAAGTTCCGTGCCAAGTCTCGTGTTTCATTGTTAAAAACAAACAAACAAACAAACAAACAAACACCTCACCTCTACATTTATGGGCTCCTCTGTGACCTACTGTGTTTGTTTAAAAATAAAAAGTGTTTTCTTCAGGATTCAACTGGGGAATTGGGAAACACACAGTTAAACGCATCGGTCTCAGGCGTGTGTTTAACGAGTCTTTATATTGGGCACACCTCTGTATGCTGCGCCTCAGTCGAGGAGTAGAGCATCTCCATCATCTCCGAAAGTTTCCTCCGGCCCCTTCCTGCTCATCCCTCCACTCCCTGGAGGCAACTGCCGACTTGATTTCCAGCACCACAGATGAGTATTGCCTGTTCTTGAACTTCACATCAGTAGAATCACACAGTAAGCACTCTTTAATGAATGGCTTCTTTGGCTCAATACCAGCCCTGGCATGGAGGGATGGTGGGGTGGAGGGGCCAAGGGGTGGAGGGGCCAAGGGAGGGCAGAGCCCGGAAGTTGGGGGACCAGCCAGCAGAAGGGGGAACCCCAGCGGGGCCGTGTGCTGGGAGCAGCAGCCCCCGAGGTGACGCAGCCATGCAGACCTTACAAAAGGTTGACGGGGTGGGGAGCGGGAATAGACCCCGGCTTCTGCTCTCTCCTGTCCCCCAGTTTCCAGGAGGGCCCCCCATTGGTCAAACCTCCTGAGAAGGTGGAAGGCGGGGACCCTGAGAATGCAGAGCTGGAGACACGAGGCAGAGCAGGGGAGCGCCGGCAGGGCCTGAGAGCGAGGGCGAGTCCGGCCGGCGAGGCTGTAAATGACCCGCCTGCTCGCGTTCCAGTCCTGCGGGTGCCCCAGCTGGAGAACCACAGCCAGCGCTGGAGCCACACCCTCGTCACAGAACAGAACGGACTCTGGTTCGCAGACGGGGAAACTGAGGAAAAGCAGTCTGTCCAAGGGCAGCTGGGATGGGATTCCAGCCCACGCTTACGGTCTTGGGCTGAGTGTTTCGGGGCCGGGCTCAGCATGGGTAAACTCGGAACACGCAGCCAGGAGGAGAAGTTCGGCTAATATCCCGAGAAACGAGGAGGGCAGGGAGCGAGGATGCGAATGTGAACTGGCACTGAAGGGTCCCCTACGGGGCCTCTCCGCACAGAGAGCTTCACCCATGTAATTGCATGTTACCCTTGAAACATTTCGAAGGGAAAATGCTCTTGCTAGTCCCCTTTTACAGGTGGGCAAACTGAGGCCCAGGGTGATGAATGAGTAGCCCCAGGGTTGCAGTGCTGGCCTCCGGGCCAGGCTCACTGCAGGCCCGAGACCTCACACCTGAGCAGCTGCGAGCAGAGCCGTGAAGAGGGAGCCGGCCAACCTGCCGGGCTCTGGCCCTGCTGTTCCTACTCAGGCAGGTGCTTGAGCTCTCCGCGCCCCAGTTTTCCCTTCTCTGAAATGGGGGTGATGGCAGCAGTCAACACAGAGGGTTGTTGAGAGCATTGTGTAACTTAAATAGAAGTTTTAGCTACTATTAGCTTGACTTGATTTCTTGGCACTTCAGTTTTTTCATCTGTAAAATGGGCATAAATAATAGTACCCACCCTAGAGGGTCACAGCAAAGAGTGAGTACCCGCCACATAGGAGTACCGTAAATATCTGGGGAGCAGTTCCTCTACGTTCGTTTTCAGTATAAGCCATTATCACCCGGCCTCCGTGGTTCTTTCCAAGTCAGAGAGGGTCGAGAAGGCAAGGGCTGGGGATCTCCTTATTGGTGGAGAAGAGGAGGAGGCGTTGGGGGCAAAGGTCCCCAGGTGAAAATCAGGCCACATGCACTGAAGCTCACAGCCAGAGGTACCCGACCCCCCAGCCATTCCCATTATATTCGTGCATTGTGTCCCTGGTGTTGTAAGTTGTATCCACATTGTTGCAAGTCACGATGACGCGTTCTTTCTTATATAATATCCTATTGTGTGAACATACCACATTCTATTTATTCATTCTACTCTCCGTGGGCATGTGGGTAGTTTCCAGTTCGCAGCTATTATGAATGGGGCATTGTGAACATTCTAGTACATCGGTAAACATTCCTGCGGAACATACATTCAGAAGCAGAATGGCTTGGTTGGGGCCTGTGACCTTTCTCCCGGGCCGGGCTCTCTCCCAGTGGAGTGGAAGTCTGGACACGTGATAGGTGCTCCGTAGGCACACATTGCATTCATAATAAACTAGGAGCTAACATTTACTGAGTTCTAACCACACACCAGGCTCTGTTCCAAGCATCTTCTATGCAATGACTCACGTGACCCTCACTATAACCCTGTGAATATAAATATGCCATTTCACAGAGAAACAGAGGTACAGAGAAATGAAGGAAATAGCCCAAGTGTACAAGTTCAAAGTTGGCAAAACCAGGATTCAAACCCAGAGAGCTGGCTCCAGAGTCTACGCTCTTGGCCACCAGGCTAAAATGACGAAAGCCACCACAGTGCTCAGGGCTAAGGTGCCTGGGCCTGGAGGAGAACCTGCGAGAGTGGGAAGGAGCGGAGGGGAGGGTCCGCAGGGCCCGACCACACCTGTGGATCTTGTGTGAAGGGTGGACAAGACAAGCAGGGGAAATGAGACACCAGATGCACCCCCGGTATTTCCGCTGGAGGCCGGGGAGACTGGGGGCCACTGGCAGAAACCAGGAAGGGCAACGGTGAGCCCCACGGGTGGCAGACAGGAGGGGGCATTTTAGATGGTGGAGTCTGAAGAGGAAGCAGCCACCACCAGGACAGTGTGGCTGGAGATCAAGGGTGGGTCAGGTCTGACACGGAAAAGAACTCAGGCCGGGAATTCGAGCTGTCTGCGCGGAGGAGCGGAGTGGGTGATCGGATGTTTACCGAGGGAAGGAGAAAGCGGAGCATGTGTATGTCAGTGCGCATAGCCTCCCATCACCCCAGTCCGCCCCCGCTGCCCCCGCTGGCCGGGCCACCATAGGCTCTGCCACAGCAGCGCCGCAGCCTCTTCCTGGTTTCCACCGCTGCTCCCGCAGAGTGCGCCGGAGGGCCGCGGGAGAACCAGGCCGCATCACACCGCTCCTTTTCCCTCGGAGAGGAGCCTCCGCGCAACCTGCCAGCCCCCACTCGGCTCCTGCCACCCCTGCGCCCTCGCACTCAGTTACTCTCCCCCCTGCTCGCGCCACTTACTCCTCGTTGGCCTCCTTGCTGTTGTTCCTCGAGCTCATTAGACGTGCACCCACCGCGGGACCTTTGCACAGGCTGTTCCCGCTGCCTGACGTCACCTTCCAGATGCCCCTGGGGCTCGTCCCCTTGATCTCTTTCAAGTGTGGTGCACAAGTCCCCATTACACTGAGAACTCACTCCCGCCACCCTCTTCCAGTCTCCCTGGTGCACGGAGCACAGACCGCCTTTGGACACACTGCATACCTTACAGCGTTCGTTATTTGTTGCTGAACTCCACAGGCACCAGGACTTGGCCTGTTTGTTCACTGATGGATCCCCAGGACCTAGAACCTCAGGACCGAACCAGGCTCAGGTGTGATCGAATGAATGAAATAATATATCTTGCTTTTTAAAAAACGGGATTGAATGGGGCTTAGAAAAGTAAAATGTAGTTGACACGTGGGAGTGTCTGCCCAGTTCACAGTGATTTCCCCGGGCCACGTCTGTGTGCGTCAGCGCTCACCCAACCGCAACCCCCTCCCCCGCCCCGCCCCCACCGCCCCTGATCCTCATCCTCAGTATTTCTCAGAGTGGGGTTCCCAGACCAGAAGCATCAGCATCGCCTGGGACCTGGTTAGAAACGCCAATATCTTGTGGCCCAACCCAGACTCACAGAAACTCTGGAGGTGGGGCCCATAAATCTGTGTTTTAAAACTCTCCCCCTCATTAAAATCTCTGTACTGGAATCGGAAGAAAACAGTGGTGCCCTGCTGCCCCCTTGTGGCACTTTGGTGCATGAACCGCGGAGAAGCCACCAGCAGGGAGGAGCCTTCTGAGGCTGGTCCCGCTACCTCCTCCGGTTTCACAGATGGAGAAACTGAGCCTCAGAGAAGGGAGGCGCCTTGGCCCCAGTCTCAGAGTGAGGCAGTGACAGAGCTAGGCATGGGATTCTTTTCTATTTGTGACCAATGCAACAGCTTTCTTAAAACATTATTTAAACAGATGCCTACAATGGCCCCTACTGGGCCCGGAGCCAGGCCACCTCCATCTGTCCCCTGGCTGACTCCCTGGTCCCGCTTGCTGCCCACAGTCCAGCTCCCTCCTCCCACTGGCCACGCTGCGAAGCCAGAAGGATCACTGTGGAGCACAATTGTGGTTATGTCACTCTGCCTGAACCCCTCGGAGGCTCAGCCTTGGCCCCTGGGTTCAGTCCAGGCCCCTTCCATGACTCACGGGCCTGCTGTGCCTTCCAGACTCTTCTGTGCTCCAGCCACGCTGGACGGCTCAGAGGGCTACCCGCTGTTGCCCAGGCCTTTCCCCCGGCTGTGCCCTCTGCCCGGGGCACGGTCCCCCCACCACCTGGAGGAGCCCTGGTTACTGTCCTTCAGCCCCAGGGCCCTGGCCCCCGTCCTCTGGCCCCCGCCCGGGTGCTCTCCTCCTACCACTCTGCCCCTCCCGCTCCCACATCTGCCGTGTCTCCGGTTCCTCCAGATCATTCCCGTCAGCGTGCACACATGCTGGGCTGGCCCTTTCTCTAGTGCTGAGAAGGGTGCAGCCCACCAGCCCCTGCCTATCCTGGCTGCTCGGGTAGCAAGACCTGGAGTGTCCTCTCCCAGGGGCACCTCCAGCAGCCTCACTGGGGGGTACCTGGGAAAGGTAAGGCCACACATGGCCACCGTGTCTGATGCATCATCAAAAAGTCCACCTGCCACTTCATGGCTAAAATATGGTCCTAGGGTCTATGGCACATTCTCAGCCATGGGGTCGTGACTTAGCTAACTCTCAAGAACTCGCCTTTTCCCCTCTGCCACTGTCTTCATTGTAATATTAGGGAGAACCCAAGGGC